TTATTTAATTATTTATTAAATTATGAATAAAATATGAGTTTTGATTTTTTTCAATTATTTTTGATCCATACTGTATACAATATATTATAAAATTTTTATAAATTTAATAATTTTTATATAAATAAAATTTTTTTATATTAATATTGATATTTGAAATATATATAACATTTTTAATCAAAATTTAATAATAATAATTACTTTGCAATTATAAAAATTGAAAAAGTATTAAATTTTAATTAAAAAATAAAAAATAATAATTTATTTAAAGAAAAAATCATTAATTATAATAATAAAAGTTTGTTTGAATTCAATAAAAATTTATTATAAGTAAGATTTCATAAAAACAAGTTTACTTGATATAATTAAGAAAATCAAAAAATTATATATATATATAAACTATATATTTCTAATTAATTTTAATAATTTTCAAGTTGGTTTTAATTAATAAAGAATATTGTTGTGTTTTAATAAATTTATTAAAATAATACAAGTTAATTTGTATATTTTATATGAAAATAACTGATATTCATATATTTTTTATTTATATATTAAATAAAATTTGCATTAATTTACAAAAATTTTTTATTTAATTAAATATTTGTATAATCATCTTTTTATTTAATTAATTATATAATAAATTTGCTATGTATTTTATAAACCAGAAAATTTCTTAGCTTTGCTTTTAGTTAAAATAGTTAAAAAATTAAAATCCTTAATTTAATCAAGAAGAAATGTAGATTTAAAAAATATTATTTTATCAAATAATAGATTATATTTAAATAGTGAACTGTTTTTTTAAATGCCTGACATTGCTGTATCGAGGTAAAAAAACATCTTGTTCGCATGTATTATGTTAAATTATTGATTAGAATTTATTATCTAGAAAAATAAATAAACTTTATATAAAAAAATTATTAACAATGGAAAAGCAAATGCAAAATTTATATAAGCTGCGTTGGAAAGGTAAAAAAAGGAAAACACTATACTTAAATACAAAAATTTGAATGCAAAATGCCAAATCTTGTGAATGCAAATATTCGGATATACAGTATATATACTAATTATAATATTAACAAGCTATATATAAAAATCTAGAATAGGCTATTACTCGTATGCTTAGAGCCACAGAGCCTGTTTAACTTTGAAGCCAACTTTAGTCATAATGCCTGTATTCTTGTTCGCTTCTTCCAAACTATAGACGTAATAAAAGTAAATAAAAATTACTTCACAAACGTAAAACTTCAATTACAGAGAATCATACCTTATAATTGGCCTTTCTACTACAAAATCATTATCTTCGGCATTTCCGACGGCCCAACAGGCATTTACTATTTCTCCAACTACCTCGTTAACTACCTGTTGACTCGTTTTAGGTGACGAATAATCACCGGAAATAGAGGTGTTATTTCCACCGCCACCCCCATCAAATTTGGTTGCTTCACCAACTATATTACTCCTAAATGCCTTAAACGCAATAAACCTCTTTTCGCTTGATAGATTATTATTTGTTTCATTTTTCTTATTATTATTTCTCATGCTTCCCGAATTAGTTCTACTTGATTCCCCAGATGCCATGTAATATACTACAAATCCATAATTGTCCTCTAAAGAAACACATGACGGGTATAAAGTAGACAATATATATTCACCTACAATTAAAAAAAAAAAAATTCAGCGAAATTATATTTTTTCGACTCAATGGAAAACACATAAAATAACCTTTTTCAATAAGTGTAATTTCTCCTAATCCAATTCTCTTAAATTGGATAACCTTTTCTAATTTGTAATGAAAAGTGCAAACATATAATGCTTTTTTTGTTAAAAGTAAGACCTTTTCCTCATATGACCTTCCCCGTCTAAATGCAAAAAGTAAGCTAAGAAATATTAAGATCTTAAAGGATTAATGCCAAATGACCTACAAAGTATTTGAATCATTGGGCGAGAGAAACGTCCACCCATTGATCTTTTCTTCATCCGCTATGACAATTGAACTACTGATTTCAACTGGGACAAAAAAAAAAAAAAAAATTTAAGATACCGGAAAAATTTTGAATAAAATTAACAGAAGAGTCCGTACTTGCAGTTGTCCGGACTTTAGCCCATCGATCAGCATCACCTGGTTGAGATACTTCGAATTTCTGCTGGAGTTCCTGAAAAACTTCAATCGAATGATTACCGAGAAGGTAATCAATCATGGCCTATGTTCAAGATAATTTTATGAAAAGCACACAAGAAGTCGGAATCAGAAACTAAATCCTACTATTGGAAAATACCTGTCGGAAGAAATCTTTAAAATTGTTTTGAAACAATCGAGCTATAGAATTCGATGCATCGTTGACAACACCTTGCAAATTTCTTTTACCTAGAGATACATATTAAGTTACGATATTTCATATAAATAATATAAGTGTACGATAGATTTTGGATGTGTACGTTATAGAAATCCAAAAGAATTATTACCGGTCCTATTTATTAAAAAAATCCAAAATCAATATGATCAGAATTCCCATTAAATAAATGATAATATTTTTAAAGTGTATTACCTTGTGAAATCACCTTTCAATGCGCTAGTTCCAGCATATTCTTTACTTATAGAATCCCCATTATTTGCCCAAACTAAATCATTCAAAAATGTCAATAGGCTTTTAATAAAACTTCCATACGCATAAGGAAATAACCAGATACCTTCATTAAATATATTCTCAAATTGTTCATAGTGAGATATACCATCAATAAGATAATCTGATAATCCGAATCTAAGAAGTTGAAGGTTTAATACTTCTCTTGCAAGAGCGCTCTATAAATGCAAACGCATTGTGTCATTGATATGAGAAGCAGGAAACAAACTTTTAAAAAAAAGCATGTAATATTCACCTGCACGACATTTGTGCGGTCTAGGCAATCCATACAATTCTAAGCAAGACATCGTGTTGGTTATAAGTAAATGAAAAAAACCAGCAGACTATAAAAGTAAAAAAAAATTTCACTGATATCGAACCGTACGAAAAATGCCCTCCTGTTTACAATGAACTTCTTCATCACCAGCCTGCCAAAAGTATCTACAGTTGGCAGAAAATTTTAGCAAAAGTCGAAAGAAATCATGATGGTATTAAATAAGAAACAAAAAATTACTTCATTGTAGAAAAGTTTCGATCAAGCTTTGATATGAGGTTGGAAATATTCTCATATTTCATGCCCTTACATTCCTTGTGGAAGTCAAACTCAATGTAGCTTAATAAGGAGAATAGATATTCATAGTTTAACTTGTTTTCCTTTTAAAAAAAAAAGAACATTCAAATTTGACTTACTTGATTTTATTATTATTTTGTTTTTCTATTTCTTCTTGATAAGCACTCCCAATAGTAGCTTCCCTTCCAGTCGTCTCGACCAAATTAATGCAACTTATGTCTCCATAATATTCAATTATGGACTCAAAATGCTTTGAAAATGCCTCGCTATTTTCTTTTGCAGAACGTTCTAGAACAGGTTTTGGCTTCAATCCATAAGGGGATTGTGACCAAAACAATGGAACTATTAAAGATACATAAATACATATATATATATATTTGTTTATTTAATAAATGATCAAAGGACTACTGAAGATACAGAAAAACATACTTGAACCACGAACTTGTAAAAATGAAGCATCATGGTGTTCATGATCAATCTAGTACGAAGGAAGAAATAGGTTGATACACAAGATGTCACTAGAAAAGAAAATATAATATACACAAACACACAATACCTCAATTGCTATAATTTGCTCCGTCTCAACGTAATTGGCGACGTTTCCATGTTCATCTACTCCCCTACGCTGATATCTTAGACCTATAAAGAAAATTCAATAAATTAACCAAACAAAAAGTGAAAATTGTAGGCCGAAAAGAGCTTCGTAATGCAATACCTGCTCTGTCTCGACTTCGGCGAGAAATTAAAGTAAAATCAAACTCCCTATCTTCGATTACACAACTTTCCGTTTGCACAAATCCTTGCATTATAGGTAATATCCATTCATGGAGCTAAGGCGGATACAAGCCACAAGTTTGTTAATATATAGAAATCCTATTATCATAAATTTTTAAATTTACCTCAAGCTCTATTAGATGATGTAGCAGATGTTCATTCCACCAAAATCGCTTTTCTACCTATTAATGAAAATGTTTTCACATGTTATGGCATAGAAGTAAATCATGATGCGATAGAATTGTGATCTCAAGTTAAAAAAAAATTGTATTACTTGCTTCCACAGAGGTTGATCATTTTGTACCTTCCTCTCATGCTTCTTCTGCAAGCTAACTGTTATATCTGAAAAACAAAATATCAACACCATAAATACATAACTAAGAAATATAACCCATCGATGTACTTTAATTATGTACCAAGTTCATATGAAAAGAAAAACGATTCTGACTGAAAGAAATTTGCAAGCTCTCTTGATACTCGAGCGTCCATGACCTATGAATTACTAGTTCAATAAGTTCATTAAACGAAAGGAACATTAAATTTTCATAACATAAATCTTACTTTTTTGTCAATTGGATCTTTAATATTTATTGTTTTTGGAGTCATATCCTCTTTACCAAATCCTTCAAAAACACCGGTCATTCGTTTTGCAGCGGTTGACAGTCCATTTGCAAACGAAAATTTTTCAGGAGAATTCTTCGTAATGGTTTCATTAGAAAACCCCTCTTCTGAAGGAACTGTTTCCCATTCGCTATCCTTATCTAATTCGGAATCAGAATCATTTGAAGAGAGAGAGAGAGACCTCTTCCTTCGCAATTCCGAAAAGGTTGATTTCATTTTTGAAAAAAATACAGACATTGGTTGTTTCTTGGGTAAGGGTTCGGAAGCCAGAGATAAGACAGATGAATCTGGCGTTTCTCCTGACTCTGGGGCAGATGACGATAGCACTTGCGGTGAGTCTGGCACTTCGACTTCCTCAATAACATTCGAGACATATCGTTGGTGGCCTTCTGTATTACTCCATTCGTCATCTATAGGCCATGGCTAAATAAATGTCAATCAATATGAATATCTATAATCGTAGAAAAAATAAATGATAATATGAAATAATATACGAACATGTTTTTCAAGAATTTTACATGCTCTATCGTAGTCTAAGGGCAAAATTGCGACTCTCTTGATCATATAAACATCTTTACCCTGTACTTTCCCAAGGTTTTTTCGTTCAGTAATCACAATCAAGTGAATTGCTACGCACGAATTATGTATAAAGAAACAGTTCATAAAAATTCCCAGGAAATCGTAGAAAGAAAAAATCCTGTAAAGTAATAATACAAACCAGACAGTAATTCTAGCAGACCTACTACACCATAGATATCGTAGTATCTTGATTCTGAATTAGCTTCATACGAATCTATAAAAAATAAAAGGTCAGATAGATCAAGGAGAAACGAACTCAGTGCATTTCGTACCTTTCTTTATTATTTTTCCGGTTTCCAAATCAATGTGCAAATAATCTTTCCCTGATATTAAGACAAAAAACTCATTATCAACGCAAAGGCTTGACTTTTTATGTAGTGGAGGTGGTGGTGGAATTGCAGGTGTAAGTGATTTCTTCCTCTTAAAAAACATTATTTTACGTATTCAATTTACGTAATATCTGATTAGTGGATATCGAAACTTCGATTGATTAGCTTTTATAGTTTTTTGATAAACATGACACGATCACATGAAAAAAACTAGCGACACAAAATTTATTTCCTAAATTTCCTAATTGTTTTTTTTTTCCAATCGGGGCATGCGCATTTATTTATTTATTTATTTATTTTTGCAATCCCGTGGGATCTTTTCACAAAGTACAAAGTACCTTTTCTTTTGTAAACTTTTCCCGACTCATCACCTCATTCAAAAAAAATATTTTTTTTTACAAATATAGGTATTACTCTTTGATTTTCAATATCTGATCTTTAATATTTTTAGTAAGTTTGTTATTGTCAGAATATCTTTATACCCTTTAGCACTAAGCACCGTGCACTATTAAAGGAAAATAAAAAAATTTTTGATAAATTAATAAAAAAAATTAAATGCATTTTTTTTTATTTTATTGTTTACTATTCCAAAGAAATATCTAACAATTATTTCTTTGGTTTTTGTTTAATAGGATTTATACTGTATATATTTTTTATTTAAAAGTTTAAAAATGGTTGAATTTTCTATAAAAAAACAATATTTTTTTAAAAATAAAAGTTTTAATAAAATATTATTAGTTAAGTGGTTATTGTAGGCAAGCTAGCATTTAACTTGTTGTATTCTTACACATGAGAGATGTTGTTTTTTTCACAATATATATCAGACATTATACAAATTAAATAAATAAATGATATTTACCTACAAAAAAAAGTTTATACAATATAAGTAATTTTTTTTATTAATATGGTTAATTATTATTATATCAAATGTTTTATTTAATTTATTTTATAAACTTTATTTTTTTTTTTTAATCCTGCAATCAGGTTGGTGTCATTTATTTATTAAATCATAGAGAACCATTACATGCATAAGAATGCATGCAAAGTACAAATTTCCTCAACCCAACTCACCTGTCTTTAGCTGAAGCCTCTAGATGCAATTTATGGGGTAATATATTGTTTCCTTAAAGGATGGAATTAAGATCCCAAATTTCTAATAGAATCAGTACCTGCAGATCACCTCCATAATTACAATCATAAATTCAAATTGTGTCACCCTCCTTTTGTAGAAACTATGCAAGGGGAAAAAGGAATAAAAAGAAATTTTTTGATAAAGAGAAAAAAAAAAAAAAGTTATTATCTATTCTAACTATCATTGAAAAGGTTATCTCAGTAAACTTAAAACCCAAGTTCCTTATGGATTTCCACTTCTTACCACCTGTGGCCAGTTAAACTGT